ACACGATGTCGTTGGAGACAGCGCGAGTCTGCGGGACACGGGGAGTCAGAGGGCTTGGACTCCACGAGGTCTCGGCCTCAGTGGGGTCTCGCCCCCTCCACGGGCCAGTACTCACCAGGGGCACCTGGAAGCCATTGCGCTTGACCCCTGGCATCCAGCCAAAAGGCAGGGAGAAGCCATCCTCGTACTCCGCTGGCAGCCAGCGCACAAAGGCCCGGTTGGAGGCCCCCAGTGTGGGGCTGCGCCTGCAGGGAGGTGGTGAGAGAGGACAGGGCGCTGGGACCAGGTGGCCCCGGGCTGCTGGGACCCCACCCTGAGTCATTGTGCAGAGGCTGCACCTGTTGTTGCACTGGCCGGTGATGGTTCGGTACTTGTCCTTCTCGGGGCACCTCACCGCCAGGTCCTGGTAGGCGCAGCCACTAGTCTTGGACAGCAGATTATGCTGGACAGGCGTCAGCACATCTGTGGGCCAGGAAAGTAGGGCGTGGGTGGTTGCCGAGCCCCACCATTTTCTATCCTAGGCTGAAAAGCCTTGGTTGAGGGTGTAGTCTGAGGACATGGAGGAGATGCCAGGAGGCCCCTGAGACTCCCTGGAACGGGGTGTTGGGGGAACTGCTGGGAGATGGCTGGAGGCACCAGGCAGGGTCACGAGTGGAGTGAGGGGCTGAGTTGTCGGGGGGTGGTACCTGTGACGTTGAAGGGGCCTGGCCACAGGGACCGCAGCTTCCTCTCCAGCAGGCCTAGGGCTACGTGCAGGTAGTCAGCAGCCCTCACCGCTGTCCTGGTGCCTGCCACTGGCTGCTTGAAGTAGGACAGCAGTTCCATGGGGCTGGCTGAGCCACTGCGAAGGCGCTGCTTGATGCTGCTTGGAGGAGGGAGGAGTGAGAGCCAGAGAAACCAGGCAGAGACACGCAACAGAGCCCTAGCCCAGGCGAGGGACACGAAGGACAGTGTAGGCAGACCCACTGTCAGGAAGCAGGTTTCTCATAATAAACAGGGTATGGACCTGGGTATCCAGAGACTAGGCCAT